TTATACATATGAAATTTTGTGAGGATGTATGTATGTTTGTTACTCTTTCACGCCAGAACGGCTGAACGGATCAAGATGAAATTCGGCACAGAAATAGGTTATAGTTTGGATTAAGCACATAGGCTACTTTTTATCCCGGAAAAATGTACGATTCCCGTGAGATGGATTTGTTTTTATCTCTCACTAGGAACGAACCCGAATAATGGGTTAGGAGTGAGACCGTGAGTTAGTTAGTTTTCTATATATGTTAAATGAATATTATTTAGTAATTATTATGCAAGAGAAATTAAAATTTAAGCTTATTAATTATATACCTATTAGCTGCGTGAAAAACTACATAAATGTTTTATATGAAATTATATCAAGTATTAGTTCGGCCATTTTTGCACTATGATTTTTACAATATTTACTTATCGTTAGACATATTGGTATTCTAACCGGTTACATATGAATATTATTATTTACAAATACGATTTGTATTGGATTTTCGCACAAAAGCTAGCTCGATAAATATCAATAATGTAGCCTACAATTCTACAATAAAGTGTTAAAAAAAACGAATAATTTGAAATATTCATTATTAATAATTATAAATTAATTATAATTATTAATAATTCAAATAAATTAATTATTTTCAATAATAATTTAATTGTTTAGAAAAATCCCAAATCACATACATACATAATTAATATATCGCAAACCAAAAGGACACATTTAGATACCTTTACATATAACTTTTTAATTAGAAGATAAAGTACTCTGTACTGGTAATATCATTTCATATCATTTTAATTTGCTTTACAATCAATCCATTATTTAACAATAACAATTAACTGTTTACATATTAATATTATATATTATCTCACTGGTAATGTCTTTCTATGACGGAGGTCGTGCATTCAATTCAACCGTTAATTTAAGAACTGAAAATGTATATAGAAACTATGTTATTAAGAAAAATATATATCTACACTAATATTATAAAGAGGTAAAGTTTGTAAGTTTGTGAGTTCGTTTGTAGGAAGTAATCTCTGGGACTACTGAACCGATTTAGGTGAAAATTGTTAAGAAGATAGTTGAGACCCTGGGAAGGAAATAGGATAGTTTTTATCCCGAAAACTATCCCTTAAGGGAGAGAAAATGCGGATGAAAGTTTGTATGAGGAATCAACCTAGGGACGAATCCGAGCGAAGCAATGGTGAGATGCTAGTTTTAAATTAATAGGAGATCCCGATCTATGCTTTGGACCCTTCACTCTTTTTCTCTTAAAAATATATTTCGCCTGAAAAAATAGTGATACACACATGACATAGATTGGGATCTTAGACTAAAATGAGCGACTTAGAGAAAGAAACGGAAAAAAATAAAATAAATGAACAATAATAATAATAATCAATAAAAGTACTTAATTTCAAAGATTCTAAAATACACAAATATTTATTTATAAAGTTTCAATAAGCTATATAAGAAAAAAAAAACATTTTAAATTAAGTTAAGAGTTAGCACGACAGTATTTTAGATGCTCGAACATTAGTTGCTTCATATTAATTCATTACAATAAGACAGTAATCGTTACCCAACAATTTATTTTAATTATTTCGCATATTTACCACTAAATTGTGGTAATTATGAACAATTTCCAGTAAATATGAATATTAGCAGCATTTAACGTTAAAAATATATAAACGGGAATTGAATCCACGACCTGAAGGCAAAAACTCATACAAAACCAAAATTTTCAAATAATCTGTTAGTTTATAAAATGAAATGACTAATTTATATCTATCTATAGCAGTACAAAAATATTAGACAATATACTCGGAAGACTCGACTATGGGATTTCGTAAGTTACATCGTAATCAGTTCAGGATTATGGAGATGACAGTTCATCGTTTAATATAGTATTTATCAAATAATAATAATAATAATAAATAATTTGTTGAAAAAAAAAGAACTGAAAAAAAAAGAACGTGAGAGCGTCATTACGAATAGTTCTGAAGGCATCTACAGACAGACAGACAAACATATACATACAAACCTTTGTAATTAAACAGTAAAAGTTTAGATGATATTCCAATCAATAATAAAATATTGTAAAAAGGAAAGCATTTTTTCTTGGATGTTTGTTTGTAATGGATAAATTAAAAAACTGATGAAACAATTTTAAAAATTCTTTTACCTATCAAAAATGACATTAATGAGCAAGTAACATGGACTATATTTATTTTCAAAATTAGAGATCCCCACGAAATAGCAATAATGTTATCTAAAGTATCAAAAATTCGCATATAATAGTCATTACTTAGCGAAATAATAAACCGATTGATCTTATAAATCCCACACATAGAACAATTGAAAATAATGCTATAAAATCACATAAAAAAAATGTTTTTAAAAGATAACAGATTATATAATAAAAACAATTTATGCTACATAAATAAATCATCGTAAAATCTTTCCAATAATTACGCATAAAAATTTTGAAAGTTACACTTAAATTAAGAAATCTAATCACATATACCTCTATATTTTCAAAATGGACGACGCCGGCCATTTTGTTTAAACATGAACTGTCATCCCCATACTATAAATTGTATCAATGAAACGCTTCAATACAAACGCCGGTATTTCAAATACCGGATAACTACTTATTTATAGATATACTATATTTAATTATCGTTCTCGTTTAAAATATACATTTATCTCGACCGTAAGGCGACCGTAACTGAGACCATGGTCGTTAGTGACCATGTATTTGTTATACCCAATACATTACATATAAAAATTGTTTATATTAAATATAACATTGTTATTTTCTTAATACTTTCTTAAAATGCGAATATTTGATATTTTAATCAAGTGTATAACGCCTTTGAGACGTCTAAAACCTCAGTCTCCCCCGTAACCATGATTGTTGTAAAGCATTCGAAACGTTGGGAACCAAAAATCAAAATAAATCCGCGAAATAATCCGAAAAGGTAGTTTTATTTAAGATTTTAAATAAAATTATCTTTGCAGATTTACTTTAATTTTGTTTGTCGTTTCGAATGCTTTGTATCAAACATTAAGACGTGTCTTGTGTTTAGTTGAGTTATTACATACATAGTTATTATAGACAATGTTTTCATAAAAAATTATACATAAAATTTGAAGGGAAGAGAAATGGCACCAAAGTAGCTTACGATATTAAAATTTCCATTCCAAAACATTCGAAAATATAGTTTTATTTTAAAATTGTTATATACAATATCGTACTAAGCGACGACCATCACACAAAATAATTGGTCGTCACGACCATGGTCTCTATCGTGCTCGTTTAGATAATTTTAGAGTCATTTTAAACATTCATTACAACACCAAAATCCAGAAAATTATAGTTTTTTAATATTCTAAAAAAAGGTTTAAAACGAAATAGTACAATCGAAAGCAAAAGTGATTTGTTCTTTTAAAAATATCATAAATCACTTCTGCAGTTGTTAATTTTTTGAACTTAGTTCAAATACCAATTAAATTTGAACTATAAATACATTGGCTTTAGTTATGTTTTTGTGGTACACTTGTTCTTGACCGACTTCAAAAAAGGAGATAATCCACCAACGAACCGATTTTAACGATTCTTCTGAATTACGTTACACCCTAAGGGTGGTCCCATATATTTAAAAAAAATCCACCCATAAGGGCGGAATATATTATAAGAAAAGTTACTTTATTTTTTTTTATTTCAAAGGAATTATTACATACAAACATCAATAACAATTTAAAACATACAATTAAACTGCATAGTTTCAAAAACTTATAAATCGTAACACATCAAATATGCCAACAATATAGATTATCAATATTAAAAAAATTGAATTACACAGTATTCAGCCCTTTTTAAAGTCCCACAGCTGGGCGTGGGCCTCCCTTCAGTACAAGGGGCAACTAAATACTACAGTTGTTTAATCCAAACTAAAATCAGTATTTTTGCAATGTCTACAGTTTCAAAGCAGATATATATATATATATATATATATATATATATATATATATATATAAAATAAAGCTCAAATATTCACAAATCTACATACAAACATGGTTGCCGTACCTTACAGAGAACTTTAAGATATTATTCTTTTAAATAACTCTACTATAATCGAGGCGTAATTAAATTGACTATACAAACTATCGAATATATTAAGGCAATTATCTAATGCGAATATAGTATTAACTATAATAGTGTACTTAGGATTTTATTTTTCTATCAAATTATTACAATAATGGGAGGTTTCAATTGATGACATTGCAAAGAAATAAAATATACTGATTTGAGTACAATAGTTTATCATATAGCCTAATAGTAGCTGTTTAGCGTTTTAAGTTCACTTTCGAAGTATTTAAATAAACAAACATTTAATATATCACTACATATTATAAAATAAAATCCCCCGAATCTGTCTGTTTGAACGCGATAAACTCAAAAACTTTTACTAAGATTTTCATGCAATTTTCACTATTAGATGGAGTGATTCATGAGGAAAGTTTATGTGTATAATTTATTAAGGTTTTGTGTAAATTAACAGAAATATGACGATGATTGTTGAAGATGTCGGAAAAAATCTATACACTAATAGTTATATGAAAATAATGTATTACATGATTATTTCTTTTAAAAAGATCTATTAAACGCAAAGCTATATGTACATTGTATGTACCTATCTTTTTGTAAATATTGCCTGAAATAAATGATTAAATGAAAATAAATAAAAAATAAAATTAACAATATGTCGCAATGAAACCTCCCATAGAAATTAAGAGTAGTCATAGAAAGAAAAACATCAAAAATCGTTTACAATTTCGCCAATTTCGCCACCATAAGGTATTTATATAACATTTGTGCGTAATCGTTTTGGTATTGCTGGAATGTTTTATGGCAACAACGGTTTTGATAAAACTTTCTAGATTTTGCACTTCACCGCATCTGCCAATGGCGCTTGTTAGCGCCTCGTCTTTAGTTTTCAGGATCTATTCTTAACTCGATGATCTGAAATTTTTATATTTTAATATTAATCATATGCCTTTCGATGAGACGTTTAGTTCAATTTGTAGTGAACCTACTTGCTGTGCCAGCGGTCGCGTGTTCGAGTCCCGTTGGGGGCATTTATTTGTGTGATGACCACGTATGTTTGTACTCCAGTCATGGGTGTATATTCATAATATTATAGTTATATATGTGGAGTGTTCGAACTATCTGGTATCCATAACACAAGCCTCGTAGCTTACCATGGAACTAGATGATACTGTGTGTTAATGTCCCAACATATTTATTATTTAAATGGAAATGTTTGAATAATCTATAGTATTACAAGTGTACTGTTTATTGCTTACTACTTACAAATGAAGTCTGATTAGAGGATCAAATAAAAAATAGCCGAATCAAATTTCAATAGATGGCTTTATATGTATCAATAAAAAATGTAAATTCTGATATTAAAAATAACATTTAGTTGTGTGAAGATAGTAGCAGGGCTGGAGAGTGACATAGGCTACTTTTTACAGCGGGAGAATATCTAATTCCCACTACAAAACACGTTATATTACAACCCACAACAACTCATCATACCTATGTATATACATATATATAATAATATATAGCGTATCTATCCATACTAACCGTTAAAACGTACCCGAACTTACGTAGGGACGAACCCGAGCGAAGCGAGGGTGAGTCGCTAGTCTGTATATATAAAAGGAAATCGTGACTGACTGAATATAACCGATTCGATTTAGATGAAATTTGTTATGGAGATAGTTTGAGGATAATTTTTATCCCGGAAATCATCCCTTAAGGGATTGGCATCCATTGTATGAGGAATCAATCATTTCTGAAGTAAGGGATAAATAACTCACCATATCTATGTATATACATATATAATATATATACTAATATTGATACATCCCAAACCCTTGAACGGATTGTGTTGAAATTTGACACACATATAATTATTATTATGAGATAGGCATTCGTTAAGAAATGATTTTCAAAAATTCAACCCCTAAAGGGGTGAAATAGGGGTTCAAAGTTTGTATGGAGAAATCAAATAAGAGAGATGTTTCAATGCGAAAATTGGCAACATTACTCCTATCAACAGATAAATAACCATGTGTTTTATAATTTTTCAAAAACAACCCCTTTAAGGGGGTGAAAAGAGGTGAAAAATTATCTCATAATACTAAATGAGCAATTCTTGTACATACATATCTGTATAAATATAATTGTGAGAGTTTGTGAGTATGTATGGATGTTTGTTACTCTTTCACGCCAGAACGACTGAACTTATCTGAATGAAATTTGGCACAGATATAGATTACAGTCTGGAATAACACATAGGCTTTTTATATCAGAAAAATGTACGGTTCCCGTGGGACAGTTATGTATACGCAAGAGTAGCGAGATGTAGCGATTTGGATCAAATTTGTATTTAGATAAGGTTTTATTTTTTAAGTTTATCGATATCTATATAGGGGTCTCTTCTGAAAAATGCAATTTTATCCAAAAATAAATAAAAATTAACTATCTACTCTCACGTTAACAATATCACATAGCGCCATAGTAAATTTTAGACTTACTTGCATTGTCGCCAATAGTTTTACTTACATATATCTTCCATGCGAAAATAACTGTCTGTCTAACCAAACCGAACCGATTTAGATGGAACTCGGACTTTTTATCTCGGAAATCACCCCTTGAGAGAGTGAAAATGCTGATGAAAGTTTGTATGGGGAAACAAAAAAATACTGAAAAAATCAATACTCACTGTTACGTGGCAATACAACAGCATGGTTATCGGGTACGGTACAACAGTGTATGTTATTGTGGAACATATATTGTATTGTTAGATGTTTGTCTTCTCCCACACACGGGTCGTAAAAACCTGGTAACTCCGACTGAAAAATTAAGAGTATTGGCATCGATCAAATAATCAGCGCTCATTCGAACATTTGAGCGAGCTTTTATTTGCAATTTGTTTTGGTTTTTTTTTGTACAAACAACTTTAAACGTTAAACAAAATTTGACAGGTGACAGTTTTAAGGGAGCTTTTGCACAAGATTGTGTATGTTGTATTTTTTCGATCGACGAGCATTCGCGATAGATTTTAAACGGCAAAAACTTCTTTATTTTATTTTTTGTTCCTAAATAATATATACATAAAAATAAAATTGAAATGTCTGTTTGTACTGTCAAAATAACAGCTTTTACTACTAAATTTATATGAAATTATTTAAGGTACTTATAAGAAAAACATAATTTTAAAATTTGTTATCTGTCCGTCTGTTCCGGATAATGTCCGATTTTGACGGAACTTTCACTGGCAGATAGCTGATGTTGTAAGGAGTAACTTATGCTACTTTTATTTCGGAAAAAGAACTACAATTAAGCTCAGAAAAAAGCGAAGAAAATTAAAAATTGCGGACACACCTGAGCGAAACAAAGGTAAATCGCTAGTATAAAATATAAGAAAAATAGATAATTAACATGATATATATTACCTTACTAGCTTCAAGTAATTCCAGTCGAGAATCTTTAGTGAGACATTGTACTGGTATTGTCACATCTATAACTTCGGCATAAGCACTTGGTGACTCCGGAGACGGCATGTCGCCCATTTCTGCTGGGATCTCGTGATTAGTTGCACCTGTGTGTTATTTAGTTAAATCATATTATTATTCTTATTAATGTATTTTAATAAAGATAAATCTGTACTAATATTATAAAGAGGCGGAGTTTGTTTTTTGTCTGAACGCGTTAATCTCAAGGAACTAGTAATCCGATTTGAAAAATATTTTTTCATTAGATAGCACCGTTCAATAAGAAAGGCTATAGGCTATATATTATCATGCTCCTACACAAGGGAGCGGAGCAGTAAACATAAACATGAAAGACACCGGACGGACGGACCGGAAGAACAGACAGACTTCCATACATTATTGTAAAACTGATGTTTATATTCAAACAAATTTAACGCGGGTGAAACCTCAGGGCACAGCTAGTGTATATATGAAACAAAGTATGTTTGTATAAGTAGCCAGGGATGTTATGGTATGAAATTTTGGATCTGAATATGAATAATACTAACGACTCACCCTCGCTTCGCTAGGGTTCGTCCCTAGGTTCATCCCCCATATAAACTTTCATCCCCATTTTCACCCCCTTAAGGCATGACTTCCGGAATAAAAAGTAGCCTATGTCACTATTCAGCCCTCCAACTATCTTCACACCAAAAATCGCGCCAATCCGTCACACTCCGTTTCGACATGAAAGAAGGACAAACAAACACACTTTCACATTTATAATATTAGTATGGATTCACTCACCCGAAGGTAATTTTCCATATAACGCCTTAATTATCACTAAGCCTTTTTTCTTTTCTTCGTCATTTTTGATTCGACTATACGTCTCTTTCATCAACTCGACCGTCGCCCGCGCTTGTATTTGCATTTCTTGTAGTCTGTAAAAAAATATAACCATTTTATATATAATATGAAGATGGAACATATACATGCTCAGACAAAGAAACAACAGAAATCCTACTGAGAACACACTTCCCAGGATGCAAGCTGGAATATAACACCATACACCAAGAACCACACAAATTCAGAACCCCAACAAATGAAGAGATACAAACAGTAAACTCGATAATCACGGACGACAAACTCAAATGGGCTATTGACAGCTCAAAACCATTCAAATCACCGGGAACAGATAACATTTTCCCCGCACTACTACAACTAGGCTACGACCTAATAAAACCCTGGATAATAGACATATACAAAAACTGTCTACTGCAAAAATACATACCTATTTTCTGGAGACACGTCAAAGTAGTCTTCCTACCCAAACCAGGCAAGGCAGACTACTCGCAACCCAAAGCCTTCAGGCCCATAAGCCTAACATCCTTTCTCCTGAAAACCCTAGAAAGACTCTGTGAAAGACACATCAGAGAAACCACTCTGACAACTATACCTCTTAACGAAAACCAACATGCATACACGGCAGGCAAGTCCACAGAAACAGCGCTACATCAGGTAGTAAGTACTATCGAAGTCAATTTAACAAACAAAACAAACACATTGGGAGCCTTCATAGATATTGAAGGAGCCTTTGACAAGACAACCTTCAAAAGCATAAACACAGCTCTAAACAAATACAAGATCCCCGAGATTTTAATATCGTGGATTAACGAAATGCTGAGCAAACGCATAATTCATACAGATACAAACGACAACCTCACAGGACTAGTATCCAGAGGCTGCCCACAAGGGGGTGTCCTCTCACCACTACTATGGAACCTTGTGGTAAACAGCCTCCTCAATGAGTTAAATAACAATGACATACAAGTCATTGGCTATGCAGACGACATAACCATCCTAATAAGTGGCAAAATTGAAGCCACCCTAGGAGAACTTATGCAAAGCGCCCTAAATATAGCAGAAAACTGGTGCATACAAAACGACTTATCAATCAATCCCGCAAAGACAGAACTACTGCTTTTCACAACGAAACGCAAGATCAAATTAACAAAAATGCCAACATTATTCAACGAAAAACTGAAATTATCAAATGAGGTCAAGTATTTAGGTGTAACGCTTGACAGCAAACTCAGTTGGAACACACACGTTAACAACAAAATCACCTCAAGCCACAAGATACTGAACCAATGCAGGCGCATGGTAGGGAAACAATGGGGCATTACACCTAAAACAATGCTCTGGCTCTACACCACGGTGGTACGAGCATCCCTCACCTACGCCAGTGTAGTCTGGTGGCCCAGAACAGAACTGCACACAATCCAAAATGAACTTCAAAAGTTCCAAAGAACAGCCACGTTAGCAGTAACAGGCTGCATGAAAACCGCTCCATCGGCTGCCCTAGAAATAATTCTGGGCATACCACCTCTACACATTTTTATAAAACAAGAAGCTGCCTTGTCAGCTCTAAGACTAGAATCAGTCAATTCATGGAAACGCAATCTGGGCAAACACACAAAGATCCTCGAAATCTATGAGGCAGAATTTCCACAGCTCAAATGGCCAAACGACAGAATAAGTAAAACACACATCATAGAAAAACATTATACTATAAACCCATCAGATGATGGAAATGTAGACAACAGCCCAACAACGGCACCAATCCACACCATCTACACAGATGGATCCAAATCCAAGGAAGGAGTAGGTGTAGGTATATTCTGCCCTACTCTCAATATCAAAACCAACCACCACATGGGTATGTACAACACAGTGCTACAAGCAGAATGCGTTGGCATCACAATTGGAGCACAAGAACTACTAAATAAATCGATAAAAAATTCAATAATACACATAAAAACCGACAGCAAAACGGTTTTACAAGCACTAACCAAAAACACAACAAAATCAAAATACATATTAGAATGTCACAAAACGTTGGAACACCTTTCCCATACTAACACAGTAAAGGTTTCCTGGGTAAAGGGTCACACAAATAACAAAGGCAACTCAACTGCCGATAACCTAGCCAAACAGGCCTCTAGACTGAAAGTTCAGGGGCCAACACCTCTATCTCCAATTCCACATTGTGAATACAAAACATGGTTACGGGACTTTACCGATAACACAGTTAACACATTATGGAAGGCTAATACGGAGTGCCGTCAATCAAAAGAAGCCTTCCCCACACTAAACAAACAATTAACAATGAAACTAACACGCCTAGATAGACCCAAACTAAAAACGGTGGTGGAACTGATAACAGGACACTGCCAACTCAATAAACATCTTTTTAACATAGGTCACACGGACAGCGCCCTCTGCAGAGCGTGCCTCCAAGAAGATGAAACACCAGCACACATCCTAACTGAATGTAGTGCACTGGATCAATTACGCGAAGAAAAACTCGGCCCCTATAGATCGATCCCAGAAATCTTCCAGGACACCGGCAGCCTGCTAGACTACTGGGACGCTCTGGGATGGAAAGAATAACACACACAGCAGCACAAGCTCACGCACAACGGGCAAAGATGCCTAAGTGCGGATAAAGCCGCGTCAGAAGAAGAAGAAGAAGATATAATATGAAGTTTCATCTTTTTATCTCTTTTAATATCGAATGATATTTAAAAACTCACGCTTTACTTTGTTTTTTAACAATGCATAAACTATATAAAACCATATTTTTTATCTATTAAATCCACACATATAATAAAATTCTAAATAAACCGAATCTGTACATCAAATATTTTTTGGAAAATCTTATTGAAATAGATATTATTATCGATAGAGAGGCTGAATCTAGTTTTTGAAATTTTTGTCTGTCTGTCTGTGAATTTTAGATCGATTAGACCGCATCACGGAGAAACCATTGGAGGGATTTTGATTAAATTTGGTACGATGATAGCTGGTTATCCGGGTCAACATAAAGGATACTTTTTACTATGCGAAAATATTTCTTCTCTGAGAAATCTATACTAAGTGTTCAATATTAGACTTATTATACTTTGCTAATTTATTACTATTTTTATTAAAAAAAATAAAGGTTTCAAATCAATAAAAAAAAACCAAATAAACAACATCTCGTGTTACAGAGGTAATAAAAAACGCACAATAAAACAAAAGCTAATATACCCAATTAAGTGTATTAAATTAATTGTTTTTTTTTTAAACGAAATTTCTTAACACGCGGTATGCGGTTTAATTTGGACAAAAAAAATACAACTTACCTTTCAAAATTAGCCTCCATGGACCTTTGCCTTTCTCTCTCTCTTTTTTCCCTTGCTATAGGTTCCAAAACTAACTTCTTTAACACAAGCCATGACACTATGGGCACCATGGTCGCATAGAACACCGGTGATGGGATAACTTCTTCGCATAAATGTATTGGCACTACAATCGTTTGGGATGAGCAGGACCATCTGTACATAAAACAGTTATTTTTTCATTATTTATACATTAAACATAAATCTATACTAATATTATAAAGAGGTAAAGTTTGTGAGTTTGTGACGTTGTAGGGATTAATCTCTGGATCAACTGAACCGATTTAGATGAAATTTAGTAAGAAGATAGTTCGAGACCCTGGGAAGGACATAGGATATATTTTATCCCGGAAATCATCCCTTAAAAAGGTGAAAATTGGGATGAAAAATTGTATTGGAAAGCAAGCTAAATAAATATTTTGGGACATTTTGTATTCACGTCCATCCCCCTTATTAACGTCCCACTGCTGTGGGCCTCCCTTCAATACGAGGGGGATCAGGCCATAGTCCATTATGCTGGCCGAGTGCGGGCGGACTTCACATGTCTTTTGAAAACTTGCTAGGTTCTCTCAGACATGCAGGTTTCCTCACGATGTTTTTCCTTCACCGTAAGGCAAGTGGTAATCATGTAAGAAATGATTCACACGTGAAAATATCAGAGGTGCGAAGCCCGGGATTTGAACCCGCTTCACTCGGTTTCCCAAGCAAGCGCGTTACCACTGGGCTACCACTGCCTACTGCTTTTGGGACATTATTTCAATATAAATAATAACTATAGAATAAACAAAAAGAAGTCTATTTTGGGAACGCTATAGAGATTTACAGTATATAAAACTATATCCGATAAAGAACTAGACCAGAAATAAATACAAAATGTGTACCCAATATTGATAACAAACAAACAAGCAAACACGGAAAACTTACTTCAATTTAAGCATAACCCCGCTTGGCACTCCGAGCATGACTGCAGCAGATACACTGCTGTTTTGTGACACTTTCTTCTCTGCGCCATATTCTGCAATCGCGCCAAATGTACCCAATCTGAAATTATTTATTTAACTATAGTATTTTTAGTTTTAAGTCATCTGACGACACGTTTGGCTTAGTTTGTAGTGACCCTACTTGCTTTGCCAGCGGTCGCGGGTTCGAGTCCCATTGGGGGCATTCATTTGTGTGATGAGCACGAATGTTTGTACTCCAGTCATGGGTGTTAATATTTATAATATGTATGTATTTAAACTTATATATATGTAGTGTATCAACTATCTGGCATCCATAACACAAGCTTCGTAGCTTACCATGGAACTAGATGGTGCTGTGTGTTAATGTCCCAACATATTTATTTATTAATACTAATTCAAAGTATTAAATTAAAATTTATTTAAATATTTTTATAAAAAAAATCGTATGCTCAATAGTGAATTATATTATTACACTACTGTATACTGCAAATTCGCTTAAATTAGTTTTTTTAGAACAAAATCACATAATTATTATTATAACATCTTATAATATTAAATGAGCAATTCTTGTATATATATCTTTATATATATAATTCTTCTGTGAGTGTGTATGTCACTGAACTTCTCTCAAACGACTGGACCGATTTTGATGAAATTTTTTGTGTGTGTTCAAGGGGATCTGAGAATGGTTTAGATTCACAATTAGAATAATAATTTTCATCAAAATGGTCCAGAATGTTTTAGCTTATTAAAAAAAGTTTGAAATTTTCAAATTAAAGACGTGTAGACAGGACAACGTCTGTCGGGTCAGCTAGTCTATACATATAATAAAATTGTAAGTTCTTAGCCGAATCTGTACATTAAATATTTTTGGGAAAATCTAATTGAAATAAACATTATTATCGATACAGAGGCCGAATCTACGGATTTTAGAATTTTTGTCTGTCTCTCTGTCTGTCTGTTACCGCATCACAGAAAAACTACTGGAGGGATTTTGATAAAATTTGGTATGGTAATAGCTGGTTATCCCGGTCAACATATAGGATATTTTTTGCTGCGGTAAAATATCTCATTTCTGAGAAAAAATACAAAAACTGCAATGTTAGAGTATACCTAGGAATACCATAAATGAAAAGAAAAGAATAATATAAAATAATAATATAATAAAATATAATAAGTAAACCTAAGAATTTGGTTTTTGGTCATCTGAACGCGGGCGGAGCCGCGGGCACTGCTAGTATATATATAAATTTATTTCGTGTATCTCGAAAACGTCACTAACGATTTGGATCAAATTTTGTATTTAGATAAGTTTTTGTTTTTTAAAATATCTATATGTTTCTTTTCTGAAAAAACACAATTTTTACATCGTCTAAATATTATTCTTGTATCTACTTAACAGATATCAATATCAATGACACATTGTTTACTAAATAAATCCAGCCATCACATAAGGATAATCGACTCAAATGACCGTACTTATGCTTTAACTTTTTGAAGAGAAACTTCTTTAGAATCATTGTGATTTAAAACTCGATGAAACAAAAATGCGACACTAAAAAGAGACAAACACACAAATATATAGGATTATGCCGGCGAGAGAATGACATAGAATACATTGCCATGTTGCCATGGTAACCATTGTTATTGTCTGACAAATATATAATATTATATTCTTTCCATATATAATATTCTATGAATATTTGATTATTATAATATACCACGTATGTCTTATTTAATTATTGATTTGTTTTAATTTAATTGCAATAATTGCCAAACAAGTTTTACTTCAACCGCGCGTTTAAAGGTTACACGCATCCATTTTTTTTTTATTTACAATCTACATTACATATAAAATTTTCAATACCAAGCTTTTGCCTTACAAATAACACTAATAGTATGAAAGGGATAGAATAATTGCGTGAGCTGTAATGTATTCGCTTGCTATTACTATATATCGCATAGCACACTTACAAATTCACATACAAATGAAATACATTTAGCTATATCACTTTAAATGCTGTAAAAAATCTACTTAAATAAAAAGGTTGCTAAACGCATATGAAATTATATATTACACTTATAAGAAAAAAAAATTTAATTTTTTTGCCAACTGTTTGTTCCGGGTAATCTCCGGAACGGCTGGACCGATTCTGATGGAGCCTTCACTGACACATAGCAAATATTATAAGGAATAAGTTAGGCTACTTTTATTTACTCACTTCAAAGCCAATCTCAGTTTGAGCTCGTGCTGCGGCAACTTCCTCATTATATTGAATGATATGAACGAGTGAGGGTTGCCAATTTGCACCGAAGTGTTGAGATGATACTTTTCCGAGTCCCTTACATATGTTGACGTCATCGACGACCCTGACTGCCCACCAGCTCTATATGTTAGATATCCGACTGAATGTGCGTCCAGTTGTAACGCCATTGCTGAAAGAAATTAATACTAATATTATAATTTGTTTGTTTTTGTCCTTCTTTCACGTCGAAGCGGAGTGGCGCATTGGTGTGATTTCTGTGGAGATAGTTGGAGGGCTGGAGTGATATAGGCTACTTTCTACCGCGGAAAAACACGTTATAATGCAACTGACAACAACTCATCATACCTATGTATATATATGTAATCTATATATTCCATACTAACCGTTAAAACGTATCTAAGGACCAATCCGAACGAAGCGAAGGTGAGTCGCCAGTTATAAATATTTCTCGCTACCAACACTATATAAAAATCCATACAATAGACTTTTGAATTTTAATGGAAATGCAGAAGAAAATCAAATATCAGGATTGTAAAAAAATACTTATTTTCATCACGAACGGTTTCATACTGAATGCGGTGTAATGCTCATCTACACTACTATTATAAGGAGGAAATATTTGTATTTATGTATGTTTGTAATGTATGAATTCAAAAACTACTAGACCGATTTAGATGTAATTTTTTAAGAGGATAGACATTGTCTGTTTGACAAAGATTATTTTTTATTCCGGAAATCATCCCTTAAGGGGGTGAAAATGGGGATGAAAGTTTGTATGGGGAATCAAGATAGGGACGAACCCAAGCAAAGCGAGGTTGAGTCGCTAATACAAATGTATGATTATATCGAACCCACTATACTTACTCGAAACGAAACTAGGCACAATGCCTCTAGGCGTGAACTGGAGACCCGTCCAACAGTTAACAAACATTAGACGGGATATTGTCCTGAATATCTTGAAACCGAACACTGGACCATTTCCGATACCACATTCCACTTCTGTCCAACCGCGTTCAGAGCTAAGATGGCGGTTAGACATTGTTAGCGAACCCGTACCTGAGAATTACCAATGATAATAATTTTAAATAAAACTATCTTTTCCGATTATTTCGCAGATTTATTACTTACACTATACAGGAAAATCTGTAACAATATAACGCTTTTGAGACATCTAAAACTTTAGTCTCCCCCGTGACCATGATTGCTGTAAAGCATTCGAAATGTCAGGAACCAAAAATCATAATAAATCCGCACTATATTACAATAATTATTTCGCACATACAGTTCAATTGTTTTAAAATCCATATATATTATCTTTGAGGTGAGGTGATAAATAATGAAGAATCGCGTAACAAAGACAAAAAAAATTATGCAATTAAAATAGAGTGTAACTTTTTTTTACCTAAAAAAGTAATTTATTGTAATCTTTCATGTAATAAAGGGAATAGTTTCTATATACATATTATGTAGACATATAATATGTGTTTTTTTTTATTTATGCAAGTTCTCTTCAAAGTGCTCAAGTATCCTTAAGTTGAGGGACTCGATTTAAGGATACTTGAGGATTTATTCATTAAATAAACATCTTGAATATAGACATAACACATACTAAAGATAAATTAAACGGCTAACTTCACACTGTATGTCAATAACGACTAACTTCATACTGTAATCTAAATCTGTAGAAACTTTAAAAATTCACTCTCATCAGTTTGTCTCTAACATGCCAAATAATTTAAAAAAATGCTTTATAATCATCTAATATCATGTAACAAACAAACTCCAGAGGTGTTCTACTTCCTGCTATTAAAAAGTTGGTCACATAACATCATACATTTCAATTAAATCAATACATATAATAAAATTCTAACTGTGTCAATATATAGGATACTTTTTACTGCGGGAAAATATCTCAACTCTGAGAAATCTATGTTAAAACGTAACTAGGGACAAACCCGAGCAGAGCGAGGGTGAGTTGCTAGTAATGATAAATAAAAATATCTTACCAGTTCCATTTTGAGTGGATATATTGCCGGATAAAGTGACTGTGTTTCTCAAGGTAACAGGTGCATCGATGGACTGCTGTATTGTCATGCCGGATACTTCTATACTTGGTATTATGGCAGAGTCTTCCCTGTAAACATATTTTTTATTAAAACAGTGGCGAAAAAAATGAAAATACTTTGTCTTGGCTAAGTTTTAATAGAAATATATCAGTAATCTTTGAGTTCCTGGAAAAATCCACAACTTTTCAAATCTTCTGAGCAACGTTTGCTTCGAAAGCTTTATTTGGATTACATTTGCAGTTACAGTTAGACCCCATCATCCTACTGCTGGGCAAAAGCCTTCCCTCTATGTTACTCAGACTAATAAGAAATTTAAAAAATAAATAGCCCAATCAGTTCGGCCGTTATCAAGTACTTCACTACAACTATCAAGGGGTCTTACTTGGTTGGTTGGTTCGATTCCCGGTTCATGTAAAAGAAAAGAAATGCAGTTATTATTATTTTTAAAAATAAAGAAATGTTTCCTTTGAGTAAATCTTGATAATTTAAATATTTAAAGTACTCTTCTTCCATGTGCAATCGATTTGTTCCACCTTGTATAATGATTTTGATTTGTTAATATATTAAAATAATGACATTTTTAAAACAAATTTCTAAATTTAGTGATGATTGATAAATCAGCTGTTAACGTTTAATCTACATTTCCAATAATCTTTGATCATTGCCCTTAGATTTTTCAAAACATTATATTTCACAAATTTGAATCCACACATTTTTAAAAAAAAGAAAAAATTGAAGCAAAAAGATGATAATAGAATTAGGACAGGCCAATTTCTTTTCTTTATTTGTTTTGTTTGAGACAAGATACTTGTATTAATATAGTATTGTATTTCATGTACTAAGTCCTAGTACTAAGTCATATATGAATAAAACATCTAATGATAAAACATAGTATAAAAAAAATACCAAAAGATACAAAAAAAAATGTCTAAAATCCAAAATTTGGCAAAAAGTGACAAATTTTATTTATTTTATAGAATAACAACATATGTGATATTGCAAATAATCAATATTTCACTTCATCATTTTTAATATTATTAAAATATTTATATTGTATCATCTTAATCAATTTTGAATACCATAGAAACTATAAATAATAAAAAATGAAATCATATATGATATGTATGTATTAATATATATTATCAGCCCTTTTTAACATTCACTGTTGGGCCACGGGCCTCCCTTCTATACAAGGGGGATCAGGCCATAGTCCATTATGCTGGCCGAGTGCAATATATAATATAAATATTATATATCAAAGAAACTTTAATTCCCTTTTAGATATTGAAAAAAAAAGAAAAATAAACAATAATAATGATGAATGAAACCTACAATATGTCATACTCATCGTAATATTTCATGAAGAGATCTGTTGCATTAATGGAAAGAGTGATGGTGCCTCTCGGGTTAGCGCTTTGTTGTAGCCTTCGTTCTTCTCGTTCTCTTTTCAATCTAAAAAAAAATATAAATAAATTAAATAATTATTTATTGTAATAATTATTATTGTCTTATTTATTGTAAATACATAGTAGAATAATTATATAAATAATATAATAGTTAATAATAGATAACTTTTGATACTGCAATAATATATGTGTCTTTTATTCAAAGACAAGGGTTTTCGGCCTAGAAAAGTTTAATGTAGTTTGTATTTTATTTTAATCAATAACATTATAGCTTTGAGCATTTTTGCTAGTAACTTTATTGCTTACTTTAAATATTAAGTTTCTTTAATATAAAAACATAATTCCTTAAATTGATTTATTACCTTTCATATTCTTCCCTTATCTCTCGAGGAGTTCGAGTGCGGAAAATAACTTCCCATCCGTCAACCTCTAGACCTCTCTTACCTAAAAAGTATTTATCAAATTCATATAAATAAAAATTAATCACCGAAATGTATATCCTTTTTTTTGTGTTTGTTATTATCAGGATAAGCTTTGTATAGAAGAAAAGAGAAAGGAAAAAATTTACTAAAAAGATTTTTTTTAAACCTCATGCTATGAAAAGTGAGTGAGTGAAATAGTTTTTATCCCAGAAATCATCCCTTAAGGGAGTGAGAATGGAGATGAAACTTTGTATGGGGCAACAAGCTAGAGACGAACCCGAGCGATATGAGGGCGAGTTGCTAGTTTTACATCATTTATATAGATATATATAAATATATATATAATACAATAAAATTTTCAAACCAAAATAATACATAAAAAGATTTTTTTCCCATAGTACACTTTAAAATAAAATAATTATATGTATGTTATAACAAAATTACCAAGAGTGTCATAGATAGCCCTTTTATGAGAGTCGGAGAGCACTTCGTATGCCTCCTTCACTTTATTGAATATTTGCTCAGCCCATTTCTGCTTATTTGGGTCTGTGCTGTGTTTATCTGGATGGAACATGCGGGAGAACCGACGATATGCACTATTAATTTCATCTTCAGTGGCCTGTAACATAAATAAAATATAGCAACACTTATTTCTATATTTCAACTTAAAATAAAGGACTAATTAATATTTTGATAAATATAGACCAATCTTACACATCTATCCATATGATTCATCTCTCATACTAAAGAATTACATAGGAGTCCACCAAGCTAAATATCGAAATCAAAAATAATAACATGATTTTGCTGTTCATGCTACTATTCTTTTTTGTTTACTTTCTTTAAGGCATAAGGGATTTTTTTTATAAGCATTAGTCGTTAAATTATTATTGAGTATAGTATTTTTTACGTGTTGGTTCACTTCCCCTTGAAAAAGAGATAGCATGAAATCATCTATTTTTTTTCTTTTTTGAAATATTATTTCCTTATCACAGTAATAAGTATTCTATTAATATTTATTTACTGTTTTAAACCTGTTTTGTTTTAAATATTATTGTTTTGTTGCATGTTTATCTATGACACCATCTATATTATTCCTTAATCCAAGGATTCATATTTCTCATATTAATTGCTGAATACTTTAAAAAAATGTGCATTATACCTTAAGCTTCATTAATAGAATTGGTGAGGTGAATAGAACTTATCAGGTAATTAATACTTTATTTAGTACTTTCTTTATATTATATTAAAATAATTGTAATCTTAAAATTAATGGACCATTATTATGTTAAAATTAAAAAGAAATCAATGTAATTTATGAAATATAAAAACACTGACCCAATGTCTGATTAGAAAAAAAAACTTAAATTTGAAGGTATTAAAAAAATATAACTATAACTAGGTACACTTACGAACTTAATATTATAATATTGTTAATTAATTAGTAAGTAAAATGTGTGTAATTATGTAAATTTCTAATGTCCATATCATTACACATTGTTAGTTACATTGTTAGTTATTAGAATATTCGCAATCACAGGCAATACTGATAAAACAAAGAAGACGAATCTATTTTATTTTCATGTCCATATGTACGACTTGATTTGATCGTGAACATAACCTATAAAATTATATCAGTACAGAAAAGCGAATAAAAATATTATGAGAATATAATATGGCAAGTCGCATTTAATTATAAAACTGTTCATAGTAATATTAATTTTATTTACAAAAATAACGTTTCGGCGTTATATAATAATGTTGCAATAATATGATAATTCGGAAGAATAAAAATATGAACATATATTTACCGTTTTAGAGATATTAAGCAACTGATAATAATTGTCTTCTAAAAGAATACTTTCTCCTTCTTCATCCATTTTAGCTAAATATCAAAATAAAACCTAAAAACTCAGTCGGCCTATTCAATTTCTTTTACCGCCGCACTGACAGTTCTGGCGACCATAAAGTTAATTTAAGTAAGTACTGTAAAGACACATGAAATATCTCCACTTGTCTATGAATTATGGAATGAACACTACAATAATTCAATAGATACTCATATCATGATGAACTAGCTTCTGCCTTTAACTTTGTATTTCAATATATTTTTAACTTTTACAAGAACTAGTAACTAACATTCATTAAACATAACTTAGTCAAAGCAAATGTATGAAACGCTCCGACTCGAATAATCCTATAAAACTTCATGTAAATAGAACAAAACGTCCTGTAGGCCGCAGGCCTTTTCACTTTCTTTGTTCATGGTTAGACAGAACAGATTTTCAACCCTGTTTATCCCAGCCTACTGTCGGATATTACTGAGTCATGACTCAGGACATTTTCCTTCTACTAACACTTCTTTTACCTGCAACTTTAATAGTCTGAAGCAGTCAGTAACGACCTACTCCTCGACAGCACGTCGACGGTAGGTCTGCCAAAGCAGACCACAACAACCATGGGGTTGCTCCAACGGTCCAATCTGCTATCAGAAAAGTACCAGGAGCAACCCGCACGGTACACCGCCCATCGAAGTGGGCCATCTCTCTGTGCGTTTCTTAGCTTCGCGCCCGGCTGAATTGCCAATGAGCCTCCCCACGAAGGGGACAAACTCAAGCGAATTAAGGAGAAGTCACTAGTATTTGAATATAATTATATATTTAGTATATTTGACCAGTCATCAATAAAAAAATAAACTCTTGTAAAAAAATAGTAATTAAACTTAATACTTGAATATTATATATTGATTATAACAAAAAATGAGCTTATTGATGTCAAGGTTTTAAGCATCAGTTTCAATTTTTGCATAATATACAAGGGGCCCTGTAACTAAAGGGGTCTCATATCCAAATCAAAGAAACGGCAGTAGCTATAATGTATGATGAATAAGATAAATGAATATAGTTGTAAAATTACAATAAAGTTTTAAAATAGAGAGGTAATTGAAATTTAGAAAATCGTTACATTTAAGATAATCAATGTAAATGAGGATCAGGAATCTGAGCGAGTGTGGTTTCTGATTTTTAAAGTACATTCTCGTGAGCATAGACAATAACTGAGTCACTGACAAGACGACTCAATACGGAATTTGCTATGTTATCTGTGAACTGGTTGCTCTCTCCGACGTTAAAATGTGGAATAAATTTAATAATTTCTTCTGTAATGTCCCGTTAAAAATATTGTTTTAAATGTAGTTAGTATTGTTGTTTGTTATTGTGATCTCATTGTGTATCCTATTTTGAAGGGATTATTCTAAAGGTAAATAGTATAATTATTTAATGTACATATATTTTTCTAATTTTAAATTTGTTTTGAAAAAGATTTTTATTTATGCCGATTTTTTTTCTTTTAAATTGATGAGTGATAATTTTTACATTTATTAGTAATACGTATTATTAAAACATTACGCCACCTGGAGAGGCTTTTAAGGTGATTGTATTGCGTGTAGGCGGCATAAATTTTTTGGTAGGCAATAAAATAGTGGTTTTTCAAATCGGTTGTTATTATTCATCTTTCTATACAGAGTGTACTCTAGTAATCATATAGAATCTGTTTTCTCTCAATGGCATGTGTAATGTGTCTGAGATGCACTGATAATTTCTTTAATGCAATACCAGGCTTTCGCCAAGAACATGAATTATCATCAAATTCACTAAGTGAAAGTTGGATAATTAATTAGTAACTATACATCAATTAAATAGAAACAATATTTTACATATACAGAGATAGCTTAATGCATTCATTCAACCATCACTATTATCTTTATCACTTCATCTTATCACTATGTAACTAAATAATAATGACTGTTTGTTTAAAAATGGTGCACGTTTTTTTTAATTAGTGAAATGAATATAATTTTTCATTTTTTTTTTAAATTTGTATAATAATATGTAGGATGGGATTTATCCTTTAGTAATTGCTACTAATTTTAGACTTAAATTTACTTGAAACAGTTATTTTAACTAGATATTAGTGGTTATATAGTATGTAGTACTAATAATATTTTTTGAAGTACTCAGTATGTAAACATTTTTTATGGTGTGAAAGGAGAGAGATACATTCATAAATTTGGTTTGTTGTATGTGATAAGAATATATCAATGTCAGAAAAGATAAGAATTATTGAGTCGAGTTGCCAATTGAAACTTATTTTTCTTGTTATCATCATGGTTATATTTAGATGTGCAGAATTATCATTAACATGATATCCGAGGCTTGTTCTTCTTTACCTTTAAAAATTAATTTTGAAAAATTCTATTAGTAATGTCAACCAAAACAATCGGGTGAAACACAGGAATATTATAAGTATTCTTAAGCCAATTTGGCCATTTGCTGTAGGTAAGGGAGTACAATACTTTACGATATGTTTAAAATACATTTTTTAAATAGTTTATCTTCAAATTATTATTGTGTTCTATAACTGGGTTTCATAAATCTTCTATATTTATTCGAGATTGCTTTTGGCTGCCATCTATTGTCCCATTAATATTATAATTGTTGTTATAAGGAATATAGGATAGTAAAATATTAAGCAAAAACTTTTAAAGTTTTAAATATCACATTTTAAACATAAAAATTGTTATTGTTAAAGGTTTAATAAAAGAAAAGACAAAAAATGCCATCGACACACTTAAACCTGCGTGAGGATGACGTCGTACGTCTTGCTTTGGAGTTTTTGCACAATCGGGATCTGCATATCACACAGTTATCATTGGAAAGAGAAACCGGCGTGATTAATGGAAATTTCGCTGATGATGTACTGTTTCTACGCCAATTAATACTAGACGGACAGTGGGATGACGTGTTAGAATTTATTCAACCGCTTAGCGCACTGAAAGCTTTTGAAGCTAACAAATTTAATTACGCTATACTTAGACATAAATATATAGAATTACTATGTATTAGATCTGAAATTAAAGCATACAACAATGTTGAAAATATTGTTGACGAAGTTGTAAAAGTTCTTAGTGATTTAGAAAAATTAGCACCTTCTAAAGAAGAATATTCCAATCTATGCTTACTATTGACTCTCCCTAGTATTACTGATCACGCACAATTTAAAAAATGGAACCCCAGTAATGCAAGAGTTCAATGCTTTAGGGAAGTTTACCCTCTTGTAGAACAGTTTTTACCCTGTGACAAGAAATCTTCGTCTACTACAGCGGCTAAATGCGCTAAAAACGATCGACTTATGCAGTTGCTGATAAAAGGTATATTGTATGAATCATGTGTAAATTATTGCCAAGCGAAAGCGACTGGTTCCAAAGAAGCGCACTCGAATGAGGTTAATTTCTCACGACTTTTAGATGGTTCTGGATTTGACGAGTCCGATTTGAGTTTGCTATCTTGGCTTCAGTCTATACCTGCTGAAACCTTTAGCGTGCCATTTGAGCAGAGAATGTTGAATGTTGACGTAGAGAAATTAGAACGTCCGTCCTTACATACGTCTTGGACCGAGCATATGTTAGTGACACCAATTAAGCCTAGGACATTCCCGCATTTGGCAATGCCGTTCAGACGTCCACGGTCGGCAGCAGATGCAATGACGAGATCTCTCAGACCTTTGCCCGACGGTGCCCCCCGACACCCTGCAGTCATGGCCCTTTCCGCCATTGACTACGGCCCCTCATCCTCATACTTCGCAGGGTTCCATTTGACGGGTATAAAAGGCAGTAAACTTATGAACACATCAGTCGATAGACTGTTCGATAATAAAAATGGCGACAGTATTTATAATGGATTGAGTGAGTCGCTGAAACCAATTGATGAGCAATTGAAACCGATTGGGGAATATAAAGCGAGTGAAGCAAGTAGTATCGGTGCGTCTAATGCTACGACCCCCGAACACAGGGGTCAGGACTATTCGGCGTCGACGTCCATATCCACAGCTGTTTCCGCAGAACGATCGATCGCTGAAAGGATCCCTCAACAGCCCGAGCATCAAGGGGATGGTGACTTTAGGAGAGAATTACTAAAGGAATACCAGATCCAAAAGCAACGCGAGTGTGATGATTATTTGCGTAATCTATGCTCTTCAGAATTGAGGCCGCAGAAACCGTAAGTAGAAATCTTTTGAATTAATGAGCAATAGGTTTTTTTTTACAAATTTATGTTTATGATATTATATATATATATATATATATATATATATATATATATATATATATATATACATATATATATATATATATACATATATATATATATATATATATATATATAATATTAATATTAATTAACATAAAAATTATATTAAACCTTCACGTGTACTTTCCAATCGAGAAAGGAATATCAATCACAAATCGAAAATTCAGTCCTCATAATGTATTGATCATTTTTGTCTTCGAGCATCCTTACTACTTACTATAATTAACGTTAAGTGTTGGTTCGTTTGTTCATTCATTAAGTAAGAGAATAAAGGGTCAGTGATGCATTTTGCATACAGATAGCAAATATACCAGAGCTAGATATAGGCGTCTATTTATGTATCTATATTAATATTACTAGCGACTCACCCTCGCTTCGCTCGGGCTCTTCCCTATCTTGATCCCCCATACAAACTTTCATCGCCATTTTCACCCCCTTAAGGGATGATTTCCGGGATAAAAAGTATCCTATGACCTCCCCGCGGTCTCAAACTATCTTCTTACCAAATTTCATCTAAATCGGTTCAGTAGATCCAGAGATTACACCCTACAACGTCACAAACTCACAATCTCACAAACTTTACCTCTTTATAATATTAGTATAGATAATGAACGGGCTATCTAATGCACAAAAAGAATTTTTCAAATTGGATTAGTAGTTCCTGAGATTAGGGCGTTCAAACAAACTCTGCCTGTTTATAATATTAGTGTAGATAATTTTAAGAAAGTATTGTCTTTTATATTTCCTTTAATCAATTTTCGAACTAAAACGTTATACCGATTTCAAAATCCTACCAAATGGATTATTTTGAACTAAAACGGTCATGAAATTTCTGAGGAGTATTCCTTTTTGATATCGAAATCGATTCACAATTGGACCCAGTTATGCAAAAAACAGCCATTTGCGTAAAACTACTAACAGAGTTATAATGATTTTATTATAATAAATAAAATAATTATAAAAAATAAACAATAAGTACTTATATAAATATTGTTCAATTTTAAAATAACCAGAAAAACAAAACATAACCCAAGTGTAACTATCGACAGAAAAATGCTTATATACTCTGTTGGTACTTTTACGCACATGGCTGTTTTTTTCCATAACTGGGTCCAATTGTCATAGTAATCGCGTAACAACACACGCACATATATCCAAATTATACCTACTTGTTCGAAGTCGGTTAAAAGTATTAGCTAACATAACACTTCATGTTTTCAGTATGGAGCAGCAAATGAATGAAGTTCCATCTGCTTTTCCGTCGGCCGTCAAATTCACTCCGCCGCCTACCGTAGAACAGAATCAAAAAACCATTGACCACTCTCATTATTTGAGGTATGTTATTTTTGTTTTATTTGAAGCTTTTTGTTTTTTTTTGAAGTTATACATATTTTGGCACGTTGGGAATTAAAATTTTTACAATGCGCCCGCACACCGACAGCCAATAGCGACATGATGAAGTTAGCTGCATTTCTTTTTCAAACAGAGAGTTGTGACATACGGGATGAAATCTTTAGCTATTTATGTTACGCCGAAGAAGTACATATAATTTCTTACGTGCGTACATAAGTACACGCGCAGGTTTTTTTTTTATTTTATATGTGTATAGTTTTTGTTATTAGTTAGACTTTGTATGTGAAAAGCAGTTATAGATCAGTAGTAATGCGCTTGGAATATCAAGTGAAGCGGGTTCAATCCTCGTGTTTCATTATCTCTGATATTTTGTTGTATTCCCTATATTTTTGTTGTAAGTTTGATTTCCGGCTTGAACACTGTCTTTTATTCAAAATTTAATTATATTTTTTTATATTGCATCAAAATTGACTGGTTCAAAGATCCCATTAGCGAGTGTATCTCCCTTACATATCCCACGAATATTATAAATTCGAAAGCTTGTGAGGATGTATGGATGTCTGGATTTATAGATGTATGGACGTTTGTTACTCTTTCACGCAAAAACTACTGAATGGATATAAATGAAACTACAATAATATAGCTAATACATCATAATAACACATGGGCTACTTTTTATCCCGGAAAAATTTACGGTTCCCGTGGGGTAGATTTGTTTTTGTCTTAAAAAGGCAAGAGAAATAGAGAATAAACAATAATTTGAAGTCAAAAAATCGACATATATAGATTTTAGAATATACAGTTTTCTTCACAGTTTTCTGATGGTATTACTTCGTAACCAAAAATATATCGCCAAGCTAAATGATTTATAACATAGTTGCTCCGGAAGAGCAAGTTGAGTGTACGGTCACAATGAACAGTCACTAACTAACCATGACGATATTATGTTGCTCTTTACTAGAAAAAGAGTAAAATCTCACTGGACCTAGATGCAGTAAATAATTGTTATCAAAATAAATAATCAATTATTGAATGATTATAATATCACGTTCTTTTAATCGCATACAATTATTGCCTATGTTGGTTTATTATAAACTAGCAGCTCACCCTCGTTTCGTTCGGGTTCATCCCTAGTTTGATCCCCATATAAACTATTATTCCTAATTTCACCTCCTTGAGGGATGATTTCCGGGATAAATAGTATCGTATGTCCTTTCCAGGGTCTCAAAATATCATCTTACCAAATTTCATCTAAATCGGTTCAGTACATCCAGACATTACCCCCTACAGCGTCACAAATTCACAAACTCACAAACTTTGCCTCTTTATAATATTAGTATAGATTTGCGGCTAACTCTCGCTTCGCTCGGGTACGCCCCTAGAATATATATATATACATACCCATATATACGTACATATATACATACATACATACATAAATACAATACCTACTGATCAAACACAATCCTCCCCTGGATTTTGCCGCAGTTGAGTAAAAATAAGTTTACGGTATTAGACATGTTTGTTTCTTAATCATAATCTATTACACATTTACCTTATTTGTATCTAGTAATAGGGATTTGTATGACATCATACATGAGTGTTTGTAATTTGAATGAGTATGACATATGCTTGCTTACGTTTAACTAAAAATGACTTTATATGTTAAAATGGCTTTACTTTCATTGATACCATATAAATCTATACATATAATAAAATTCTAACGAAGCAGAAACTGTACATTAAATATTTTTTGGGAAATCTAATTGAAATCGACATTATTATCGATACAGAGTCCGAATCTATAGTTTTTAGAATTTTTGTCTGTCTGTTGTCTGTCTATCTGTCTTTCTGTCTGGGAATGCATTACGGGAAAACCACTGGACAGATTTTGTTGAAATTTGGTATGATGATAGCTGGTTATCCGGGTCAACATATAGGATACTTTTTACCACGGGAAAATATCTCATTTCTGAGAAAAAATACAAAAAATGCATTGTAAGAGTATACTAATATGTAAAACCTAAGAATTTAGTTTTTGATCATCTGAACGCGGGCGGAGCCGCGGGCAATGCTAGTCTATACTAATATTATAAATGTGAAAGTTTGTGAGTGTGGATGTATGGATGTTTGTTACTATTACACGCCAGAACGGTTGAACGGATCTGGATGAAATTTGGCACAGAGATACATTACAGTCTGAAATAACACATAGGATATTTTTTATCCCGAAAAAAATTACAGTTCCCGTGGGATAGATTTGTTTTTGTTTTTCTAGAGGTGAACGTGAGCGAAGCGAGGGTGAGCCGCTAGTTCATTTCTAAAACACTTTTAGAAGTGAATTTATATGGTATCAATATTATTGTGACTTAATAAAAAAGTTAGATTACGTCACTCTCCAGACCTACAACTATGGCAATCTAACGGAATGATAATAATCACATAAGAGTTATATATTATTTTAATAGTCCTAATTGAACATAGCGCTAGCGGGCCAAAATACAAACACAAACATACGTTTAACAATGCGCTAAAAACGCTAATATTAGGTAATTTTTTCTATTTGCCTTGCCGTTTATGCGCGATGACCAAGTCTTTCTATTTATTAAAGAAATAAAGATAATATCTAAATCAATAGATTCGTTCACTATAAAATGTTGTTATTTAACTAATCAGGTAACAATCTATGACAAAGTTGTTTGGATGGATGCTTCCATATATATGTACTGAATAAATTAATCGACTTGATTTTATTTTATATCTCATAACTTTTTGAGGTAGAACAACTGTGTTGCGAGACTTGCATTTTTTTACATGTAATGTTTTTGATGGGATTATATTATATAGACGAAATCACACCACTATTTCATATCACATAAAACAATATATAATCTTTATATCTGATATATAATAAGTACCTAGGCGACTGAGCCTCGCTCGGCATTTTTTTGGAAAAGATACACCTAATAAGTACATTGATTTTTTTAGAAAAGATAAGTATGTATGTATGTACATTAGTTTAAAAAGCAAAACCTTATCTAAATACAAAGTTTGATTCAAATCGTTAGAGCCCTTCCGAGATATACGAAACAAATTTACATAGTACGAGTATATACAAGTATTGCTCTTCTATCGACATATATAATAAAATTCTGAGTTTTATCTGTACATTCAATATTTTTTTGAAAATCTTATTGAAATTGTCATTATAATCGATACAGACGCCGAATCTATAGTTTTCAGAATTTTTGTCTGTCTGTCTGTATGTCCACCTCCAAAACCACTGGACAGATTTTGATGAAATTCGGTATGATGATAGCTGGTTATCCGGGTTGAAATATGGGATACTTTTTACTGCGGGAAAATATCTCATCTCTGAAAAATCAATATGAAACTTTAAAACATTACCTTAATATTATAAGATTAATATCAATATGTTTTAATTATTCCAGAAAAAACGACATCAGCGAGTCCATTGAAGTACCTGACACCACAAACGTAAGATTTTTTATCATATTTATATTTTGCAATAAGTTATTTATCTATATACAAGCTAATTATTTACACAAGGTTTGCTCGATGATTATGTTATAAAATTATTATTTTTTCTCAAAAGTTTATTCTGATTTAATACTTTCTCATGTTTACGCGAATATTTGACATTTTATATAAAGCTATCTTTAAGGATTTTTTCGCGGATATATTTTGATTTTTGGTTCCCGACGTTTCGAATGCTTCTCAGCAATCATGGTTACGGGAGAGACTTAGGTTTGAGACGTCTCAAAGTTTGTTATATACTTGTTACAGATAGTGCTTACCCACAACTTTATAAAAACTGTTTGAAACTACAACTGCGAAAAAATCCGAAAATATAGTTTTATTTATTTTGATTTTCCTCTGTTTTAAAAATAATCTAGTCTAAGAACTTAATGACTTATATCACTCTTATTATTAAAAATAATTATTAAGAAAATCTATTCACAATTTGCGAAGATTCACAAAACTACAAACGAGGTGAGTACTTCCTTCTTTTGGAAGTCGGTTAAAAATAGCACAAATATTATTAATATTAATTTATTTTGTTCATATAAATCAATTATTCTAAAGTTATTAATATATGCACATATTTATCAATTTTCACGCTATGCATATTAAAGGTGGAACAAGTTGTAACAGCACATTTTAAAGCTAAAGTATTTTTTATCTATACATATGATTTAGCGACTTTCGCTTCGCTCGGGGTGGTCCCGTACGTTTTATATGGATAAAAATAGTTATTGTGAGCGTACCTTAGGAGGTACACACATGTGCGTATCTCCTATGAAATCTGAAATTTGAATTTTGCGTAATTTTTAAGTTTTTCGATTTTCGTGCTGGAAACCCTAAATATTAGCGGAATGAGACATAGCCCTACAAACTCCTCAATCTTTCACAGAAAGTCCCATTACAATCGGTTTAGCCGTTCCAAACATTATCCTGGAAAAACAGAAAGACAGACAGATGAAATTTAAAAATAAGCTTATATATAGGTACTGGTGTCATATGAATAACTTATATGTACTTGATAAAACGTAGCTATGTCGAAATCACAGACAGACACTTGAATTTATTTTTTATATGTATAGATTATTTATTATATATTTAAAGGAGATATTAAAACTAGAATGAAATAATTTTTCATTTTTTACTCGAATGAGTATGGTTTATTCAGAATATTCCAGATCGCGCGTTTCTATTGTACGATCTTTATTGTACTATAACACACAATGACAATTAACCTACTTTGAAATATGAAATAGGTATATGTTTGCGTTTTTTTCTTTCAATTTGCTATGCTGTTGAAAGTTTTGTGTTGTTTTAATAAATAAATGATTAATTAACAAAAAAACTAATATTAATATTAATAGATATCATAGAAAGGAAATTTTCTTCGATGATGAGAGTATGAGCAGGTGCCTTTAATGGAATATGTAACTTAATTTTTCTTGCAAACACTACTTTTATTTTAAAGTTGAGTTCACGTGAAAATATATAATATCCTCCTTATTATTTATTGAATATTAGGATCATATTTGGAAGACACGTTTGGCTCAGTTTGTAGTGATACTAGTACTTGCTGTGCCAATGGTCGCTCGTTCAAGTCCCGCTGGTGGCATCCATTTGTGTGAGAGGCAAGAATGTTTGTACTCCAGTCATGGGTGTTTATATTTATAATATGTATGTATTTAGAGCTGTACGTGTATGTGTAGTGTGTCAACTATCAGGTATCCAAAATACAAGCCTCGTAGCTTACTATGAAACTAGATGGTGCTGTGTGTTAATGTCCCAACATATTTATTTTATTTATATTTAGTTTAATATAAAATATCAATCAAAATATTTTTTTTACTATATATTTTAAGAGTAGCATCCTATATGTGTCTAGTATATGTATACTCGTACATGTATATCTCAATTTGGGTGTTTATTTATAGTGTTCGAACGACGATTGAATCATTACAATGGTAAAGTACAAAATTTACAAATATTATTAATCCAAAATAACTTTTTTAATCAAACCGTATGTCTTTTAATATTTTGATGCGATTGAATTTGGCATACGTTTGTGTTTGCGTTGCGAAAGTTTCTTATTTATTTTGATTATGTCTCAGTTGACAATTTTTTTTATTGTACTTTTTTATGTACTTTTGTAATCTAAATAGATGCATGTTTACAGCTACTATAATTTATTTTATAACTAGCGATGCGTTTTAAAGGTTAGTATAGATTTCTCAGAGATGAGATATTTTTCCGCAGTAAAAAGTATATTATATGTTGATCCGGATAACCAGCTATCATTATACCAAATTTCATCAAAAACAAAATCTGTCCAGTGGTTTTCTTGTGGTGAATTCCCACACAGACAAAAATTTATAGATTCCGTATATACACTGTATCGATAATAATGACTATTTCAATAAGATTTTCCAGAAAATATTTGAACTCATCAACAGCTCATCCAACGTAAAAAACTAGATATCTCTTCTTATTCAAATTAAATTACCTATCGTTTTTGCTTATAATTTTTTTTATAAAATTAATATATTTCGAGCTTCAAACGCGCATATTTCGCTACTTTCGTCGGTTTTTTGCAATTATCTCCCTCACCGTTCACTTATTATTTTATCATGCAATTTTATTTATTATTATCGAAGTTATAGACCTTTTAACTTGTTGAAGCTTGTTGAAGATATCGGAAAAAATCACGCCCACTGGAAACTTTACTGGCGTGCGTCTCGTAAACCAATAGTTGTATGAAAACAATGTATTACGGGATTATTCCTCTTAAATTTTTTTTTAACTATAGCAACACTACATATATTAACATTGTACGTACTCTTTAATAAACATAATTAAACAGTGCACTGCTATTATGCCTATGTGTTTTGTATATTTTCTTGAGGATAAAACTAAATATTTATCGCAGGTAAGAATTCAATTGTACTTGCAATTCGAGCACATACTATGACTGCTTTCTACACTGTTCCGTTTGGAATAACAACAAAGAGCTTTTTTTATAGAAATTTTTCACTGAGTTAAGTAATCTGTATTTAGAAATCAAAAGTTGTAACTGTGTTTAAAAAGTTAAATTTATTATATTAGAATTATCTATCTGTAATCTTCAAATTATTGTCAAAAGTGAACAAAAATATTAAGTTATGTTAAGAAACAAGTGAACAAACAAACATACAAATAGCTATTTTTTTGTATTGCTACCTATAGGTTCCACCGTATTGATATAATATCGTAGCGCCTTATAAACTTTAAAGGCAATGTCACAGTCACGTGATCTTGCAACTGCTTTGTTTATTTTGTTGAACTTGTATTTCAAAAAAACCTACATATATATTTATATATATATATATATATATATATGTAATATAGTGGTATAGTTAATTTTATGTTTGTACTTTTTATTTTTTAGTTACAAAATACGTTAAAAAAATTAAATTCTTAATCGGGTGATGTAAGAAAAGGATACTCGTACACTTAACCCATATTATTTATAGTTTCTCTCAGTTATTCTCTTTAACACGTACATAGTTTGCAATTTGCACTAGAATTATATATAACTTCTATCTTTATCGCGTTTATTATGGCGAGTGTTCAGAAGAGCTCTTCCAACTTATACCCTTCTTTTTTTTTTTTGTTTTTTTTTTTTTTTTTTTTTTTTTTAAGTCGGGAAATGCATTTACGCATACCACCTGATCCCCCAGGTGGTGATGTGGGGCTCACCGGCTAGAAGAGCCGGTACTACCCACTAAAACCCGACATTCCCCTCCCTTCCGCCTTAATGGGGCGCCGCAGGATCGCTTGCGCATAACTACTACGGCGCTCCGGCGGCAGGTCTGCCTAAACGCTAGGCCGACCACCACACCAATGGGGCTGCTCCACAGTCAACTCTGCTACGCCAGAGAGGTACCCGGAGCAGCCCCATTAAATATAACCACCACCCACCGAAGTGGGCCACCTCCAATCGGCTGCAGAGGACAGGAAGAGCGGCAACGAAACACCGACACTCCTCTTCCCCTGCAGCCCCACCGCGTCCGCCATCAAACGGTGGCGGCCCCGTCTAGGCCGCGGAAGGTAGGGAGAACGGCGCACCGAAATACCGGCACTCCTCTCCCGCCGCGGCCTACCCCTCCGCCGGATGCGGGCCTGCGACCACAGTCCCGCAACCGGCACCCATCATCCGGTTGTGGGACCAAGCGGTCCCACCACCGGTGGCCGCAACGTCTTCGGCTCGAGTCCTAGACGAGCGGCCCCACCCAAGCCATTTGGTCCGTGCCGGATTTCTCCGGTACCACCCGCCGCCCTAAGCGGGTGGCATTCCCCTATCCGCCACCTGGGGACGCGGCCGGTAGGAGTTGGCTTCTCCCCCGGGAACTTATACCCTCCTCTCCTTTCCTCTCCAAAACCACACGTGCTGGTCGGAAATTCCATCCTCACACGGTACTACCCATACCTTCTCGTACCAAAAGGTTTGGCAGCTCCTACCTGTGCCGCACTATTAGGAAATGGAATTCATTGCCGTCTCACGTGTTTCCCTCTTCCTATAATCCTGGGTCGTTTAAACGGAGCGTGAAAAAGCACATTTGCAGGCCGATGAGGTGAGGTTGAACGGAATCGAGATCAAGTCCCGGAACCGATGGATCTCATTCTGGATTCCACTGTCGCTTACCATCAGGCGTCATGGAGTCATCTTGTCGAGCGACAATAAAAAAATATATTATAGTGACTTTGATATGCCCTTATTAAAAATAATAAATATCAAATTATATAGACGAGTCTTTTGTCAATGTTTATCTTCCAACGCTCTACGTTATGTGAAATTAATTAAAAATATCTTTTTTTATTTCCTTTGTTGCGAATCGTTCATTTGCATAGATACCTTCCAAGGTTAATGTCATATCGTGAATGGACATTTTTAGTTTTTGCCAACAATAATTATTTCTAGTCTTCGTATTTATTATATGATTAGCATTGCCCGCGGCTCCGCCCGCGTTAAGATGACCAAAAACCAAATTCTTAGGTTTTACATATTAGTATACTATTAAATTGTAGACTATGTTGACCCGGATACCCAGCTATTTTCATACCAAATTTCATCAAAATTTTGCCATATGATAACGTTTCTTTTGTATGTATTTGTATCTATTGTACTCAGCCCTTTTTAAAGTGTTTACTGTTGGGCACGGGCCTCCCTTCAATACGAGGGGGATATCAGGCCTCCACCAAGCCAAGCTGGCAAAATGGGGCTTGGCTGACTTCACGTCTCTTTTGAAAACTTGTTAGTTTCTCTCAGATATGCAAAATTTCCTCACGATGTTTTCCTTCACCGTAAGACAAGTGGTAATTATGTTGGGAATGATTCGCAAATGAAAATATCAAAGGTGCGAGACGTGGGATTTGAATCCGCTTCACTTGGTTACCCAAGAGAGCGCGTTACCACTGGGCTACAACTGCCTCGATATATTGCTTATATACACTTACTTGGCGCTTTTTAAAACCTATCACCCTGTACTTCACTCTTTAGGGTGTTTTCACATAAATATCATTGCTTTGGACCGTAATAACAATTACAGATACTAACGAGTACTAACGAGTTGTCACATAATAATTATTACTGATGTATTATTGCGAACAACATGTGGGTAGTATTGCGACATGTTAAAAGATTGGTACTTATATGTAGTCAAGAATAATGTCTTAGTGTTAGAAATACTTGGTTTTTTCAATCTATTTATATGTCAGTTTCTTAAAGTGGCAAAAATATGTCAGTTTGTAGTGACCCTACTTGCTGTGCCAGCGGTCGCGGGTTCGAGTCCCGCTGGGGGCGTTCATTTGTGTGATGAGCACGAATGTTTGTACTCCAGTCATAGGTGCTTTGATTTTATAATATGTATGTATTTAAAGTTATACATGTGTAGTGTATCAACTATCTGGTATCCATAACATAAGCTTCGTAGCTTACCATGGAACTAGATGGTGCTGTGTGTTAATGTTAATGTGTCTACGTGATACGAAGCGAGGGTGAGTTGCTAGTGTTAACATAAATATGTTTGTTAAAAAATACATAAAAATCACATCTTATAAAGTTTCTTCTACTGGCAAAATGCCTTTATAACTTAGACGACGTGACGTGATTTCTGCTGTTTATTACTAGCGATCTGTTTTTTTTTGTATATTCCAAATACAGTATATTTTTTCGTCTCGCAGAGCAATATATTAAGT